CAGCTGAAGGTAGAGGAGGCATTTCAAGAGTCTCCTAACTCCCCATTGCTTGTCCCTTCTGTTCTGCACATTTCCACTGTGTCCTACATTCCTTGGATGCATTTGCCTCCTGATTTGCATATTAATCTGAATAAAATGGCAACGTGGCAGCTTTTGAGTCACTTGGACTAATGTGGGACCCCCCAGATTCAGAGCTTGTTAACAGGGACTTGGCCAGCACATAGCACAGGCATCAACAGCACAGTGGGAGGTTGTTGGAGGGGGAGAACAGGGGCACAGCAGGTCAACACAGATCAAAAGCCCTGCACTGTAATGAGGAACATTCATTTCCTAACCCAGTTCCAAGGTTTAGTTCACTGATTTGTAACAGAAAGCAAATAACTGCTCCCATCTCACCCCTACACCATGCGTGCAACCCTGAACGAAGCATCGCCAGCAGCTGGGTACCTGCCGGTCCTTTTGGTGTGCATTGCTAGGGAAGTCCCATCAGGAAACACTTCCTCATGGTGATGTGGCTGCCTGCAGCAAGAGTGTCTGTGGCAGATAACCTAGAGCAGGTCAAAAAAGGCATTTAGAGAGAGAGAAGTGCTCTGCCCCACTCATTCCACTGATCAACACCGTTAGACCTGCAGGGATTTCTAGAACAGAGCTGCTGCACAAGCACATGGTGCAGCCCCATCAGAAGCAGGCAGGTCCTACTGGCTGCCCTGAAAAAGGGATAGATCCAAGTGCACCATAAAGCATTTTGGGGTAAATCTGTCTCCACAAACTCTTCTGGTAGCAATGCAGATCATACAGATAAGGGGAAGACTGTTCGTGCAGAACTCACCCTGTTCCTCAAGGGGCATGAAGTACAGCAGCAAAACAGATCTGGCCAATCCATCTACCCAGGCCAGGGCTAGGACAGGATGCACTGCAGCAGCTCGGCCGCTAACATCCCCTGAGCCAGCCCCAGCCTTGGTGACTGCTCTGAAACCACCCAGGACACACAGAGCTGTACCCAACCAACTGCTGGTCTTCAGCTCAGACAATGAAAAAAAGCTCTGATCTTACATTACAACAATGATGTGCCTCTGAGCCCAGCCAAACCAGACCCCTACTGTTAATATTGGTGCAGCTTCAGTATCTCTTCTTCCCTTTCTGTGAAGGAAAAATGCTGGATGCACACAACAAAAGCGATGCTGACAGCTCTCAGCTTCCTTTCCTAGGTAGGAGTCCTGCTCTGTGTTGCCTCAGGTAGAGAGTTACATGGTGAGGTGATAGAATGGTTTGTGTTGAAGGCACCTTAAGGCTCCTCCAGCTCCAACCCCTGCCACGGGCAGGGTCCCCTTCCAGTGGAGCAGCTTGCTCCAAGCCCCCGTGTCCAACCTGGCCTTGAGCACTGCCAGGGATGGGGCAGCCCCAGCTTCTCTGGGCACGATGCACCAGTACAGTCACACTGACAAACCACCCCGGACGCACAGGCTTTCTCACCATGCTTTTGTGTTACATTGCCTCCCACCACTCTCCTGCAGCACTTCTGCCCTTTGCAGCAAAGCACAAGAGCTCTGCTCCAGGCTCAGGGCTGGACCAGCTCGCTCCTCCCTCAGTGGCCATCTGCCCACATGCTCTGCACTCACCTACAGACTTCTGCCCATCAGCAAGGATTGCTCAGGTTTCTCTTTGGGGATGCTCTTGTCCATGTGCCATGGGCTGAAGGCCATTAGGGAGGTCTCTGGCTGCCCCTGCACATCCTATTCTCTAAATCAAGACTATCAGTTCAGCCCATATTTTCCCTCCATGGATTTATCTACGAGATGACTCAGCTCCAAGGCTCACGCAGTATTTTAGAGTCACTCTGATAACCTTTAATGCCTCTCCATTCAGCAGTGAAATTCATGTGCTGCTTCTTGAGTGCGTTTTGTGAAACCCAGAGGTTGCATGACTCCTAGAGCCTGATGCTTCTTCAGTGCCCACGTGGGCTCCCCAGGCACGGATCTGCTCTGCAGTGCTGCTCACAGTTTATTTTTAAGGTTTGATTCAGACGGTTACCATGAATCCCCAGAGCAGAGAACATCCTCGCACTTATTACATGCAGCTCTCTCAGGCACCAGATAGAGCTTTGGCAAAGTACATGTACATTAACTCCTCCATGCCTTACTTAGCTCCATAGGAGAAGTCCCACACGATAACGCCCCAGCGAAGGAAACCAGACTGGGGTTTAGCAAAAAGGGATTAAAATCCTTCAGTTTAGTGCCTGAGGCTGGAAGAGCAGCTCCGGATCCAGCAGCGACTCCCACACATTGCAGTGGGTGGTAAATGGTAAATGAGCTGCCATGTCCAAAAACCCCGCAATCACTGCCAAGGCACTGCCAGACGTGATGCACTGCCTGCTGCCCCTGCCCCACACCGGTAACACTTGCTCCTCACCCTGGCTCAAGGCAATAAACGGGGTCTTTGAGTCCTGCAGTCAAGCCCACCAGCTGCTTCTTAGCAGAACAGAAGCTACTGCAGCATCTTCCCCCACACTGCTGCTGCGTGGACGGCCGCATGAGTTAGAGACTGTTCCTGGAGTACCCCCATGGGTACCCCACAAGGGAGATCCAGGCTCTTGCATTGTGCCTCTTTCACCTCCTCCTCGCACTCCTCTGCATTCTCCTGGGTGTAGCTGTAATCAATGCACACAGACAGCTCCTGCAGGGCTCTGATAGCAGTCCTCTCACGGTGGTGGGGTCACGTTACCTTCTACCTGGGGTGATAAGAAGGCATTAGGCTTGCAGGCTGCAACAGGAGGAAGCATTCCATTGCCTGGGGTTGGGCAGTGCCAGGGGGGTTTCCTGCCTGCTCTCCCAGAGGTCAGGTACCAGGAGCTCCCTCATTCCTTACATTCCCCCAGCACACACACCTGACTTCCCTTAAGCATCCCTTAAGCAGTGCTCAGCAGGTCTCAACACTGGTGAAATGCCAAAGCCTTGGAAGCCAACAGCTTTTCAGGGCCCTGGGCAGCAGTTGGGAAGCTGTGGCTGCCCCATCCCTGGCAGTGCTCAAGGCCAGGTTGGACACAGGGGCTTGGAGCAAGCTGCTGCAGTGGAAGGGGTCTCTGCCCGTGGCAGGGGTTGGAGCTGGAGGAGCTTTAAGGTCCCTTCAACACAAACCATCCTATGATTCTCCCCTGATCAGAAAGCAGATTCAAGCCCACCTCTACGAGCAGTATCTCCTCCTCATTCTCCTGTACATAACAGCTGCAATTTTGAGCAACCCAGAAGCCTTTCACCAGTCCCAGAGGTACCCAGGGCTGCTCCTCACCTCTGGTATCAGATTATGCTTTAATCTGTTTTAATTAAGATTTAATCTGAGCAATCAGATTTAATTATGATTTAATCATGATTTAATCCAAGTAATGGTTTTACTTGCATTTACACATGGGACTGTGATTTGAAAAGCCCACAACTCAGAGTGTCTGTGTGCCAGGAAATGCTGCCCAGGTCCAGTGGGAGATAGCACCATTACCTTGGGCTTGGCCCTGGGAACACATTGATAACAAGTGATCAGGATCAGATTCAAGACCCACCTGACAACGCACACCTGCTGGTGCTTTGGGAAGGGAGCTGCTGCTGTTTATGATCCTTGGTGGTCATCATAATAACACGGTTGACAGCAAGTCCTCGCAGCTTCACTCAGGGTGCTCTCTTGTTTGCCTTGAAATGAGAGCAGGGCTCCAGACACGAGTCCTTCTGCATAAACACACAGACTTAGAACGATGCTTCCTTGTTTGATTGTGGGCAGCACCTGATGAGCCTCTCCTTTGTTCCTTTAGTCTGAAGGCAAATCGAGAGCAGCTGACAACCTGGGAGCCTGGCAAGCTGTTTGTGCTTTATTGCACTGGCATGGAACTCCCGGGCCACGTCTGGATGTGCTCATGGGTAGATGCAGCACACTGCGCTCTCTCTGGTGCCCTCCTCCAGCAGGCAGAGCATTGGCAAGTTATCCTTGAAGACTGCTTGTGCAGAACACATACAGGGGTCTCTTTTTTGTATGTTGTCATTCTTAACCAGTCCATTCCTGTTGCCCAGTGGGTAAGCTCAGATAAAGAACATGATGTGATGTAAAATGAACACAAGCCATCCATTTAAACTTACATCAGTTCCCCATGCCGGGTGTTTCTTGAAACCTCTCCCAAAGGAGAAGGTGCCTCAGGAGCAGGACAGCTTCTCTCAGTGGTCATCCCATGCCACTGGCAAAACATTTCTTGGTAAAGCCTAACATCATGGAACAATGAACATCTCCTGTGTCTGTGGAAGAAACCTGAGTTCCATTAGTAGCCGCCTTATTCATGGTCTCGGTATGTAGCTCAGACACAATAATCCCCTCACTGAATACTTAGAAACAAACAAGAAACCACACTCTGATTTTAAATGCAGCAACATCACTGGTTTGACTCAACACACAACATTGGTTTAAAAGAGTTTTGCCAAGGGATTTATATAAAGCCTCATTGAAACAGAATAATCTCCTCCACCCGTCCCACCTACCTCACAGCAGCAGCTTTCCCACGTTCAGCACTTCTTGCTCATGCTGACGATGGAAAACTACCTAAACCCAAACCCCTGAAGGTGCAGCTTGAAAGACAAACACTTTGGAAGCATAACCAGGACTTGGCAAATGGCTGTGCAGGACCAAGGTCAGAGTTTATCACTCCCCAAAGTACTCATTTAAGCTGGCTTCAACACTGAGCGGCTCTTTTTGACGTCCATGAGGACTGCTCCTAAGACTGAACAGCCTACCAGGGTTACACAGAGCCAGGAAAGACTCACGGATGGCAGCTGCCAAGAAAGGAAATCATTATTTTCTTCCATTACAGTGTATTTTCACTGTGTCATAGATATAAACAGTAGAAACGAGTGCGGGAGCTTCGCTGAAGTGGTCCATAGCGTTCCCTATGGCTTCGTGCCTTCCCCAGTCCAAATCTGAACACCCACAGCATTTTCCATTTTAAACACTCAGCCCACCCACAGCAGGAAAATATTTGTACCATTCTTTTATTGAGATTATGTCAATCTGGAAGCAGATGGACAGACAACAAGAAGGGGAAACACACGCCAAGTGAATAGGAGCAAACATCCTATCAGTCATTTCCAATGCGACGTGCTGTACACTGCTGGCAGTTGGCCTGCCCAAGGGGAAGGCACATCCAGTGCGTGCCCAGAGCATCCCTGCAGCATCTAAGCACTTGTCAACACCATGGCACTACCAGGATAGCAAGAATCCACCAAACCCAGCCTGTGGAATTCCAGGGATAGGTCCCAAATGAGGGTGTTGCAGCGGGTGGGCTGCCGGTGGGTGCTACAGTCGGATGCTTCTCTCAAGACTTTCTAATTGCTCTTCAAAAAACTTAATCTGCTCTTCAAGGTCCTTCTGCTCAATGAGCAAAGAGGTCTTGTCCTGAACAAAGCACCGGTAGTCCTGGAGCTGCTGGGCACTCAGGTACTTGGCAAGGATGCCAGAGACCACCCTCTCCCTGCGATCCAGGTTCTCCTTCAGGTCTTTTGCATCTTCCCGCTGTCTAGACAAGAGCTTGTGCCGTTCATGGAGCGATTGCTGATGGAATGAAAGAACAAAGCAGCACACCATGAAAACTCATCATTCCTGGCAGACTCTACATCTTCATTTGGAAGCCACAGTCAATTTAGTTTAATTACTTCCTCTTGTGGGCTTTGTGTTCCACATGAGCTTTTGCTCGATTGAATTACTCATTCTTGTGGCTTGTAAGGTAAAGACACCCAGGGAAGCCCATCAGGGCTCACTTCCTCCATGCTGCCCTCAGGAGAAAAATCAATACATTTAACATGCTGGGGATTTTAAAGTGTCCTGGATCCATCTTCATTCAATTAGAAGCTCTTTAAGACACATACCTTTGTATTTTGTGTGCAGCCACAGTACCCATGTCATATCAAAAAGACACCTTCTATTAAAACTTCTATTAAAAGGTACACGTTGCAGATGGTAACTGTCCAAAGGCTTCTTGTGAACAAACCCACCAGAATCAAGCCTTGCCTATTCTACACGGTTTTAACACATTCACGTTTCAGCTAAGTCTCTTCCAGCTGTGATGATGCTCACAGGGAGAGCACCGCTGGGAGATGTCCGGTCCCAGGACAGTGTCCAGCACAGAGCAGAGCTCACCAGCAGCACCCTCAAGACAGAGTCAAAGACCCAGACTGCTGGTTGTGCTGACACTGGGGCAGCGACTGGGAGGTGGTTGTGAAGATGCTGGCCCATAACCAAGTCTTTATGATGTTATTCAAATGCTTGGATATTTTAACACATTTACTATGAAGAGCATAAACTTAACACTAGAGAAGCGCCCACCACAAAGCCAAAGTCAGGGTGGAATACAGCTCAAAGTAATTCCTGTTAATGTGAGTGACATTCTGGAGTGGGCAGATCCTGATCTCCATGTCACACTGCATGGCAGGACCCTTTTAGTGCTGTTCTGCATGAGAACTATGCTAAACCTCTTGGCAGCCCAGCTCCAGGAAATCCCAGTTTTTCCAACTCTGTGCTTTTTGAGTTTCCGTATGAGAGAGAACAGCAGGTATTGTATGGATAACACGTCTAAAAGCAACGAGAGCAGCAGGACATTCCTGGGATAAACTTGGCTCGTCTTCTCTAGCAAAAAGGAGACTTTTCAGACTTGAAAGGATTTCCTGGTGACATGAGACAATTCCTAATTTTCCAGCTAAACTGGCTAGTTGAGCTAAACTGCAGGGAATTTGGTCTCAGGTTACGACCACATCTTCCTGCTCCCTACAAGCCCATTAAGTGAAGCAGAAATTCAAAGGCAGCAATTACCACATTGAAACAACCAGGGGGAAAACCCCGAAATGGCAAACAGCCCCCTGAAGCCCCGGCTTGGAGCTACCCCCAGGGTTCAAAACCCACCTCCAGCACACACCATCTTCCTGTGTGGCACTAACGCTGCTGGGACAGCGGCTGGTGTCATGTATAATTCAGTTTCATGTATAATTTAATCTTATAACAGCAGCTGGGGTTCATGTGTAACTTACAACTCCTGTTTAGAGCTATAAGACAGCGACACAGGATCAGCCCCATCTGGGAAGGAGTGACCCAAACAAATACCCCCCCCCTTGTCACTCACCTTCTCCTCAGCATCCGTGTTGCCATCGATCCTCCTCATGGCATTCTGGACCCGGGCCAGGCGGCTGGACAAGCAGAGCAGGAGGCTCACCACCTTCTCCAGGTCGCCGATGAACATCATGTAGCGCTCAAACTCATTGTGCCTGCAGACATCCTGCACCAGCGCCTCCAGCTCCGTGCCTCGCACGGCGCACGCCCGGGCTTCGGAGAGGATGAGCTCCCTCTCCCCATGCAGGGTCTGCAGCTTGGACCGGAGCCTGGACATGAGTTCCAGCTGCAAAGGGAGAACGATAATCCTGGAAAGCTGCTATTGCCAAAGAGGACCCCGATCATTTCTAGAGGGTGGATTTTCCTCGCATTGTCTTTGGCAGATTTTTGACTTTTAAAATGCTTCTAAGCTCGAGGAAAGGAGGAAAAAATGAGTATTTTTCTAAGCTGTACTTAATTGTCAAACGCTAAAAAGCAAATCACTGGTAATCACCTTAACTGGTGATATAATCCCTAGCTCAGAGAGCTTCCCATCAGTCACAAGTCAACTGCAATAAGGATTACAACACGGTTACACGCGGTTATGCTCCAAGACATGAGCATCAAGTCACAGCTCCATTACCCAAGCTTTACAAGGACTGGAATTTCATGTATAATACACACACAAAGTCAGTTCCTGGGGTGATTCAAGCAAGCTGCAGTGCCTGGGTAGTGAAGCAAGAGGCTGTTGGGTAGGGAAATGTTGATATGGAAAAAGGCCCCGAAACCAGAGCAGAAGAACCCCATCAGCTATTTTGGAAGTCATCCGATGCCACTGTGAGCAGGAGCAGCAATTAGACAGTGGGTGATGAGGAGTATCACCACATGCCCAGCAGGAGGAGTTTCAAGAAGGCAGATTGTCATTACCTGAGATGGAGCATGGCCACGTTTCTACAAGGGATAAAACCCAGCTCATTCTTTGAAGCTACGAATTGCCCTTCCAAGCTGCCATAGTCTATCTCAGCCCATACGTGCTGTATGAAGTAAGAACTGCCACTTCTCTCAGAGTGAAAAACTCTTCTTATTCAGGCTGCCAGTTGTAATGAATTTTGAAGGTTCTGAGGCCAGATTTGAGGATTAAATTGAGATTCAGCTGCTGCGCAGGAGCTGGCCTTGCAAGGAAAGGTATAACCCACCCTACGTGCTTGTTCCAGGTACAACCCATCCCTGGTGACCTGCTCAGGAGAAGTATGTGGGGGAGAGATCCGAGTCAAACCAGGACTTAGATACCACCATTTAGGATCAATATGCCAATTTGCCAGGATTCCATTTTTACTGGCAAAAATAAATTCCAAGTTACCTATGAAACATTATTGTTGGGATAAAAGTAATGAATACAAATGCCCCCAGTGAAATTAATAACTTAGTTGTCATGGCGAACAAACAGGGTTCCTCTGATGGTCATGTACATACTTTCTTAGCCGTGATGTCATCCAGGTCATTTGTGCTGCCTCTGCTCCTATTCAGGTCTTGGCTTCCCTCAGAGGTAGGATCTTCACGCTTCTGCTTGGCATCGTGTTCAGGTTCAGGACATTCTGCTGGTGCATCTCTGCTATTGGAACAGAAAATAAATACCCATGGCAAGCACTTAGGAGTTTAAGTCTCAAATGCTGTGTTCATGGTTTAGTCCATCCTGACTTCGGAATCCATCTTTTAAAGTTCTTAAAAGATCTAAAGCAAAAGATTTGCGGTCTGGATTTGTCACAGTCCCGCATAATAAGGAATAATTGAACCACATTTCTTGTCATACACCCATAGCCTCAGACGTTTCTTGATCCCTAAATCATTTGCTAATGAAACCAAAATAAAGCAATATGCTCAGGTCACCTTACTACCAGTACATGTGATATTCATACAGTAAATTAGCTTAAAATACTAGATCATTTGACTACTCACTCATTCTCCTGCATGTGCTGTACATCTCCCTTTTTCCTGTGTGATTTATCCAGCATGGGGATGTTAACAGGAAACAGACCCTCCATCAGGTCTAAAGCAGTTCTCCTACCAGGGTGAGGCATGAGAATATCCACCAGAGAACTGTCCTTGGCAATGATCTCCATAGCAAGTTCTTCATATCGCTGGTCTTCAGGAGACTGCAGCCTCCCTTTTGCCTCTCCCTTGAGGTGAGCATCACTCTGGCTGTTGTACGTGGATGTCTCCTTTGCAATTAAACCTTTAGCTGTATTCCTGTCCCCGTGGTGGGGCTGAGCTAACACTGTGTGGCAGCAAATTACTTGATCTGGAGAAGCTGCAGGCTGCTGCTCTGGACACTTTGCTAAAGCATTGCTGCTCAGAGACTCAGTTCTGCATTCCTCCTCTGCTTCAGCATCTCCCTTGCTTCTGCTCCTTGGTATGGGAATAGGGGCTTCAGGAGTCAGCGCCTTGGTACCCTGACAGCACAGACTTCCACTTATGTCATAGTCTTTACGTTCACAATTCTCACATCCATCTTTCCCAGGATCATGGAATCTAGAAGAAAGAAGACACTTCCTTGTGAGACACTTCCTCTACCACAGATACCTTGCAGCCCGTTTAAGCAGCTACAGGATAATTGCCATTATCTTTCCAGCTTCCTCTTGAATTCAGATTCCAGAACACCTATTCATTTTTCCTGCCAAAAAAAAGCAAGGCTACTGCACCAGCCTGTGTTGTTTGAATCCCCATTTTCTAATCATGACCAACATCCATGTTTTCTGAAATAAACCCACAGTAAAAAGTGCCAGCTCTGCCCCAAAGAGGAGAATCTAAATTACTGACTAACAAAACCAATTCTGGATTTCTCTTTTAACCTACTTAGTACATATTACAGAGCTATGATCAAATGTGTTTTGATGTTACTGTTCTGTCCAGAACTCCGGTTACATCCGTGCTGACCCTCTGAGCCTCTTGGCCAAACTGGGAAATTGAAGATAAATCTCAAAATCAAGCTGGAAATCCAATTATTTTTCCAAGATAATCAAGCCTCCAGAAACCATCGGCATCTTTCTGAGTGACTGAAACAGTGGAAATCCTATGACTACATGGCTCTGATCACACATTTCCCACTGTCACACACTGCTCTGATCACACATTTCCCACTGTCACACACTGCTCTGATCACACGTTTCCCAGTGTCACACACCGCTCTGATCACACGTTTCCCAGTGTCACACACCGCTCTGATCACACATTTCCCAGTGTCACACACTGCTCCAATCACACGTTTCCCAGTGTCACACACTGCTCTGATCACACGTTTCCCAGTGTCACACACTGCTCTGATCACACGTTTCCCAGTGTCACACACCGCTCCCATCACACATTTCCCAGTGTCACACACCGCTCTGATCACACGTTTCCCAGTGTCACACACCGCTCCCATCACACGTTTCCCAGTGTCACACACTGCTCCCATCACACATTTCCCAGTGTCACACACCGCTCCCATCACACATTTCCCAGTGTCACACACCGCTCCCATCACACGTTTCCCAGTGTCACACACCGCTCTGATCACACATTTCCCAGTGTCACACACTGCTCCCATCACACATTTCCCAGTGTCACACACCGCTCCCATCACACATTTCCCAGTGTCACACACCGCTCTGATCACACGTTTCCCAGTGTCACACACCGCTCCCATCACACATTTCCCAGTGTCACACACCGCTCCCATCACACGTTTCCCAGTGTCACACACCGCTCTGATCACACGTTTCCCAGTGTCACACACCGCTCTGATCACACATTTCCCAGTGTCACACACCGCTCTGATCACACATTTCCCAGTGTCACACACCGCTCCCATCACACGTTTCCCAGTGTCACACACCGCTCTGATCACACATTTCCCAGTGTCACACACCGCTCCCATCACACATTTCCCAGTGTCACACACTGCTCCCATCACACATTTCCCAGTGTCACACACCGCTCCCATCACACGTTTCCCAGTGTCACACACCGCTCCCATCACACGTTTCCCAGTGTCACACACCGCTCCCATCACACGTTTCCCAGCCTGGCACACTGCGCTGTGGCAGATGCTGTGTTTGCCAGAGCTCGGATGAGGGAGCTGTGATCTCAGGCATGTGCAGGAGCACAGCTGCCGCAGGGAGCCACAGCTCAGGTACTCACTGCCTGCTCCCCCTCGCCCCGCACAGCAATGATTGTAAAGTCTGTCCCAAAGCGAAGCAAACAGTGCAGCAGAGGAGTTATTCCCATTTGGACCACACAGGGTCCCATGACAGCGGCAGAAAACCGCAGCTGCTCCTGGAGTTCCTGTGTCTTGGACATGGGCTGCACCCAGGCACAGCCTTCACAGCCTTACCTGGGGGTGCCAAGAGAGCTCTGGCAGCGCCGAGAAGGTGTCACTTGTCCATGAGGGCCCTGGAAGCAAAAGCAACACACTGGGACCACGAGCATCTTCACACTGGGCAGCAGCTCCAGTTCACCCCCCGTGTTTGTCATCCCCAGAGCAAAAGCCAACACTAGATCTGAGTAGGTTCACCAAGGTTTTGTGCTTGTTTGTACGGGGCTTTTGTTGTGTCTATCTGGTTTTATTAATGAAATTCCTATTACGCTCTCCCCACGTAGCATCATCCTTTTCTACCTACAACATCTGACAACAAAATACATGCTCTACTCTCATAACAATTCAGAAAGCAGCTAGCAGTGGGATTAGTTTGTCAGCCTCTTCAGTTGGCTAATTTGAGTAGGACATTAGATTATTTCCTGACCCTTTATCTTCTTTACTTTCCTTGACAACAACATTGACAGCTACTGTCCTTCAAATTCAGGAGCTAAAACGGTTGGTCATTAATGAAAATCTCTATAAAACCCATTCCTGGGACACTGTTCTAATGAAGTTTCTGTGGTCACAACAGTGACAACTGAAACACAGCATGGGGTCGAGCACCAGACCCCATGCACACCTTGTCCCCTTCAAGAGACACACAGCGCATCTCCCCTGCCCTCACCTCTGCACTCGTTCATGATGCTTTTCATGCAGTTCCCCAAACCAGGTGGATGGTCCTAAGTTATTCCCAAACAATAATGCCTCTGTTAACATCTGTCTCACCTGTGTGGAAGGAGGAGTGGATTTTGGCCTCTCCTGAGCTCTCCCAGCTGGATCACCCTCCTGCAGGAGGCTCTCAGCCAATGCACATTTGCTGGGGTAATCCCTGCCTGCCTTGTTGGGCAATGAGCCAAGCTTTGAGGTCTCTGTACCAGCAGAGCTGGGGTTGTACCTGCTGCTCGTACTCAGTGGGGGAACAGAAGCCAAATGAGGAACGACATCCGGTGATTTCTCTTTAGAAAGAACTTGGCAGAAAACCTCATCATCCTGCATCTTCCCGCTCCTGCTGGCATTGGAAGCCTTGCTAGGAGGCCATTTGGGATGGGACAGCCTCTTCTGCAGGGGTGGCTTATGCAGTGGGAGGTGCTGTGCACTGCCTGGTCTCTGGTTAATCTTCCGTTCCATGTACTGGATAAGTGCAGTGTGCTGGATCTGTTTCAGCTCTGTCCTGGAGATACCTGAACTGGAAAGTGCCCTCCCTCTGTTCTCCAGAGTCTTCCTCCCTGCTGCTCCTGTACCTTGCTCAGTGATTTCATCCCTGACTTGACTCCACAACACTTCCTTATCTGCTAGCTGATCGAGTTTCTCAGGTTCAGAATAACACAGGTTCTTCTGCTCTTTGGTGACCCTTTTCCTTCCCCCCATTCGACCTGTTTGTGGCTTCTTAATTTCTTCATCTCTACTGAAGCATTCCAAGGATTCTAGGTGAGAAGGGGAACAAGGAACAGGCTTGGCATCCTCACTTGAACCGGATAATGAGAAGGACCTAAGGTGTTCAATTGATGGCCTTTTAGAGGGTTTATGCCTCAGTCTAACTGGCAAACTCATCTGCAAGTCTTTCCTTTTAAAGGAGGTTTCTCTCAGAACCTTCTTCTGAGCCACTTTAAGTTTCTCTCTGTAGTCATTCTTGAAGCTCTCATCCATGACAATGAGATCTTCAGTCTCAAGCAGGTCATCACCGCACTGATGCTGGTGGTTGGTCCTTCGACTGCTTTCCCTCTGTAGCTCTAGACACTGTGCTGAGGAGCTGCTTGCTGGGGATTCCTTCAGTGAGGTCCTCAAGTCCTCTTTACCCTGGGTGAGCTTGTTGTGGCTCAGGATATCGGTGGCTTTCCCCCCAGACAGATAGTAAAGCATGGGAGTTGTCTGCCTGGTTATTTGTTCCCCAGCAAGAGCATCCCGAGGCTGCCTCAAGAGCTGCTTCTGAAATCCAGGCTGGCATTTCTGAACAGGAGGTTCCTCTCGTTCCAGCTGTGTGCTGAGGTCAGGACTGCTGGTATTGACCCCTTTTTCTTTCTTGGCTTCATGTGAAAGATGAGATGTTGGCTCTTCCTTTGGTCTGATCAAAGACGTTTGGCCATTATTACCATGGCAGCGCCTATCTCCCTGATCCCGCTCCTCCCAGCGTGGAGGCTGCGCTTCAGCAGGACCGTAACTGCAGGACAGTGCTGACCTCTGCATTTTGGCTGGCTCATTCAGTAGTTCCCTGATACCACTTCCAAGCGTTCCTTCAGAGGCACAGCACTGATTTTTGCCTGTACAACCATTCGGCTTCCTGGAAGCATTCTCCATATATTTTAAGTCACAACTGTCCTCAAACCCACCTTGATCCACATCTGAACGCAGCTCGGCATGGAGCGGGCAGCGAGGGCAAGGCAAGGATCCTCTTCCTTGGCTGGGCTCTGTCACTGTGCTCTGCACATCTCTGAGAGCCGGCTGACGTACACTGCAGGGACACTGTTTGTCTTCCTGTGTATCATTAACAGTGTCAGGGTGGGTATGCACCGGGTGACAGGACTTGGAACTCTTCTCTTCAGGATCTTCATAAGCATGAACTGAATTGTAAGCAGAAAGTATTTTGGGGATATTGGCCACAGAGTCAGTCTTTAAGTATTCCTGAAAAATGACTGAAGAAGGCCTGCTGAAGACGTGAGCATTGCTTCTCCTCACGGGCTGTTGGGATGGGCCCCACTCTCCATTTTCCTCCATCTTTAACCCCTGATTTTGTGGTATGGATAACTCATTTGCAGAATCAGAGGAAAGGCCCTTGTTTTCCAGAGTCTTTTCCCTAACAGCCACTATACCTTGCTCCGTAACTTCATCCCTGTGCCGACCCCATGGTACGTCCCTATCCACCAGCTGACTGTCCTGCATGCAAGGAGCTGGCTGCACACTCCAGTCACCATGACTTCCAGAGCTGCGTCTTCCTCTTGAGTGTTCCAGGTGCCTGGTGACTTTATAGCTATCGAGTCGCATGGGAGGAGAAGGTGGAGGTGCTGCTGGAGGAGAAGGTCCCTGATGTGAAGTCCCTCGGGTGGGAGCGCTTCCAGAGCGCTCAGTGAGACCGGTGCTGTGCGAGTTATGGCTGCTGGGGTCTGGTGCTCTGCAGGGATGCAGGCACCCGTGGTCAGAGTTTGCTGCACTGAGATTGTAAATACCTCTTACATATTGCGAGTCCATGTAAGGTGCCTGCTCCAGAGGCCAACAGCAGTTTTCACCATAGCACGATGGGGTGGGATACTCTGGAGCATTTGATCCCCCTGAGAAAGAGCTGTAAGCAGAGTCCACTCTTCCAGGGAGCTGCAGGAGATGCTCTGCACTGCTGACCGACTTCACTGGTGAAAGGCCATGGCTGCTTTCAGGAGAGGACAGAGGCTCTACCAGCTCTCCAACTCTGGCACGCTGCCTCTGAGTCCATCTCTCGATCCCATTCCCAGATGAAGTCATGTTGTAGCATTTCCAGAAATCAAAGGCTGGTTAAATACCCACAACAGCTGTCAGAAAAGCACATTCTCCTCTGTATTCACACTCCAATAGAGGATCCTAAAAAGAAAGAGAAACACGTGAAAACCTGAATGGGAGGATTCTCATTGCAACTGGGGACATCAGAGAGCATCACACACACCTGCTCCAGATGAGAGCTTGGAAATAGCATTTGGAGTAGCAGTTAGATTTCTGCCTTCAGTAATCACCAGGATCTTGGAATGATCATTTCCTCTATCACAAACAGAGCAACCAAGTCTTTAACGACAAGAGTTCTCTAGACCTTTATTAAGTCCAAAAGACCACACATACAATTGGAAGATGCCCTCTCATTACGATTGCCAAGCATCAAGGGACAGAATCAAAACACAGCTGGAACTGAATGAGCTTTAAGGTCCCTCCCAACCCAACCAAGGCTGTGATTCTGTGACCAAAAGAAAGCAAAGCCTTGAAACCCTTCAGTGACAAACTGCCCCAGTAACACGCTCCCGAGGAGACAGAACTGCATTCAAATCCAACAGGACAACGCATGTCTGGTTTCCCCAAAAAGGTTGATCTCACCAGACCTGAACCCATCATTCCCAACCTGAACCTCTGCAGCGGGGCCTCAAAGCTGGCAGAAAGAGAGGTTTGAGGGGTGATGGTGCTGTTTAATCAGAAACCTCACATTCCTGCCTTGTTTCAAAGACAGGCCTGGTATCATTCATGTAGAGCCAAAGGAAGAGATGGACAGGAGCCAGAGTGCACAAGTTAATCTATAAAGGGAGCTTGGCCTGGTGGGACACAGTAAATAAGTTAACTGGCTTCTGGGAAAGGAAAACAGAAGGAATTCCTGCTGGGCTTTTTTGGACATTTCAGTAAGAAACTGACTCAAGGACACCTGGAGAAGCTCTTTAGAGATGATCTAAAAGGCAGCTGTGAAATTTCATTGTCTATCCCTGAGTGACAGGGTGGCAGAGGGACCGCGAAGCATCACCGGCTGATGACGACATCCCACATCCTTCTCATCAGGGTCTTTAGTGAAGAGTTTAAAGCAATAAAAACCTTAGGGGAAGGTGAAAGGGAAAGCTTGGGTTTTCTGAAGCTACAGAGACAGAAAAGCAGCAGAGAGAATGATTGCAGTGACACTAAATGCAGAATCAGGCTGTACCACAGTGGCTATCACACCGCTGTTACGTTACCTCAGTGAACAGCCTGCACCTGGGAGCCTGGACCACCGCAGTGAGTGTGAGCATCGTGTACTTGGGGGTGCTGGGAGCGCACAGGATCAAACCCCATGGGAGCCACGTTCCACAGGAGACCCAGGAGGCTGATCCCCTCTGTCATTCTTATATCCCTTCTCTAAACCTGAATTTTCTCGCAGTGGAACCACTCCAAGCAGCCCTATTGCTCTGTTGCCATTAATAGACTGAGCCAAGTCTTTGTCTGGGATACACTGGCACGGTTCCACTGAGTTACTGGAGCCACTCAGATTTACAATGAGAATTTGGCTCTAACTTTTCACAGCTATGTATAGAACCTACATAACAGTTGTGGTTTGGTTTATGTGTGCCAATGAAAGCGCTCTCTTGGTTTCCTACACCCCTGCTTCCCAACATCGCTTTTCCTCCTTTATGTCAAGCTATCTCTTCGTGATGCACAGGGAGGTCAGCAACGGAGCAGGTGTCCTCCAGATGCCTATGCTAAAATGCAAATAAATGGTACTGAAGCACATCTTAGGGGAAACCTGACCTATTTCTTTTGGAGAAGATGCTTCCTAACCTCTGGAAGCAGGACTGTTGATCTCAATGTGTTTAAAAAGCTATGTGAGAATCATAGAATCATAGAATAGTTAGGGTTGGAAAGGACCTTAAGATCATCAAGTTCCAACCCCCCTGCCATGGACAGGGACACCTCACACTAAACCATGGCACCCAAGGCCTCGTCCAACCTGGCCTTGAACACTGCCAGGGATGGAGCATTCACAACCTCCCTGGGCAACCCATTCCAGTGCCTCACCACCCTCACAGGAAAGAATTACCACCTTATATCCAATCTAAACTTCCCCTGTTTAAGTTTTAACCCATTACCTCTTGTCCTGTCACTACAGTCCCTAATGAAGAGTCCATCCCCAGCATCCTTATATTCCCCCTTCAGATACTGGAAGACTGCTATGAGGTCTACTTTGTCCTGTAAGAGGAAAACATTAATGTTCTGACCTGCTGAAGCCTCCAGCCCCTCACAGACCGCTGTTACAAGAGCAGTCACCACCGCAGCCTCCCCGCTCCAGGGAAAGGTGGTTTGTATTGCACAGCCCTGAACTCCTTGCAACCAACTCAGTAGGTCAAAGCCTCGAGTCTCTGTCAAGTTAACTCTGTACAGAGAAAACACAGTGCCTCCATGCTGCAGTTACAAGTTCCTTGTTTTCTAAGGCCACCAACACTGCCTATTTCTAGTCTTTTTCTGCAGAACTGCCACTTTTAAACAAGTGGGTCCATGGAACTAAAGGGGAAGCCCGCAGCTATTCATGCGCATCAGACTACAATATGCAACTGTTCCCCAAGCAATGAGCGTGGCCGGTATGTGAAGCACAAAGCAAACACCATGACCAACCTCCCCATGTTATGTCATGTACTTGCTTGTGAGTGACCTGTTTGTTATCAGCGAGCAAACACCTGATGTAAACATTATCCAGAATTCCTTGGATTCCAATCAGTTGCACAGCCCACAGCACCCGACCCACAGCCCAGCACATGTAACTGCTGCCAAAGCATCACCTCCGAGACCCGGGCGAGCCTTGGGAAGCCTTGAGAGCCTGAAATCCTGGGAAAGCAAGTGCAGAGCCTATGGAATGGCATCACCTGCAGCAGGTCATCTGCTGATGATCAAGCTGTGCACAAGCACAATATAGAATCATAGAATAGTTAGGGTTGGAAAGGACCTTAAGATCATCCAGTTCCAACCCCCTGCCATGGGCAGGGACACCTCACACTAAACCATCTCACCCAAGGCTTAATCCAACCTGGCCTTGAACACTGACAGGGATGGAGCATTCACAACCTCCCTGGGCAACCCATTCCAGTGCCTCACCACCCTCACAGGAAAAAATTTCCTCCTTATATCCAACCTAAACTTCCCCTGTTTCAGTTTTAACCCATTACCCCTTGTCCTGTCACTGCAGTCCCTAATGAAGAGTCCCTCCCCAGCATCCCTATAGGCCCCCTTCATACTGGAGGCTGCTCTGAGGTCTCCACACAGCTTCTCTTCTCCAGGCTGAACAGCCCCAACTTTCTCAGCCTGTCTTCACACGGGAGGTGCTCCAGCCCCTGATCATCCATATAAATGCATTCTCAGTGACTCGGAGATGTGAGATGTCTGGAAATGAGAGCTGCTCTTTTGACCAGACTATGAAATATCCAGAAATTCCAGACAAATGTCTGAAGTCTTTAAATTCCATCACTTCCACATGACTGAAATGTGAGGATACCACATGCAGGAAAGCGTGGCTGCTCATCATCCTTGTGCCCAGGGACTAAGAGCCTGTTTCTCTCTTTTTCTCTTTATTATTATTATTTCTAGCCTGTAATCAACCATTTTACCTCCTAGGGCTTCCAGCTTCAGGTTTCAAAGAGGGAGGCAAACATATCAGATGACATCCCCTTTAGATGACTGGAAAACACATTCTGCTGCTCTGCATTTCCCTTGCAAAGAGTTCAGAGGACTCTAAACCCCAGATTTCCCACCTATTTCCAGCACTATTATGCAGTAGCCAACGCTTGCAAAGGGTATCAGACATCTAAACCCAAGGACAAGCTTTCAAGCTTGGCTTATACAGACCCAGTGGGAAAATTACCCTGCTACTGGGAGCCAGGGAAAGTCACAGTATCAGACATCCTCAAAACAGAGCCTAAATGGGATTTAGGTGAGGGTTAAGCCTTGCGTGCACAGAAGTAAATCTCAGCACAGTTTGAGGAATGTAAAGTGTTCCAGTAAAGGCCACAGACAGAGACATGAGGGTCTCTGGAGCAATGCAAGTGTCCCGAGTAATTTAAAAGAGGATGAAAATAACAATAATGCATCTCAATATCCCCATTTGCTAGTGGGGACATGAATCTTCCTAAGCTTCCTTACCCTGCTATGCCTTGCTCTTCACAGAAGGAAGTGATTCCTACTATGAGTGCAGTTCCACAGTGCCAGTATGGGTCCATCTCCACCTTCCCCAGTCACTTCCCACCCAGTGATGACATCTCACTGCTGGACTGGACCACTGGCATTGCAGTAACATGCAAACTTGGCCGATGTAAAGCTGTGGCCCAAGTAAAATGCTTTTGGACCAGAGATCCACGGTCCCATCTCTGGCCAAGGGTTTAATGAGGAAGATGAGGCTCGGCAATTCGTCACAGCCCTGCGAGAGGCCTTTTCTGAGCACCAGCAGAGCCTGACCTTTTAATGAGAGCAGTCACCCACCACATACTTCCCATTGTCCTTGAATTCCCTGACTTCCCTTATTGAGCCTCAGAAATTGCTCTTGGCCTCTATCGTCATCACTCCCTCATCTGCTGAGCACCAAGCACTTGTTTTGGTTTCCATCTCTGAAAGCACGTCTCAAACACACACTTCTGCCCCAAATCACAGCTTCCGCCCAAGCGCGCACGTTCCTCTCCAATCATTTCCATTTCATCCCTTCTTACTTCAGCACAATTTTTCTCCCTTTTTAGAGCCTAATCAAGTTCCTTTAATGCCATAAATTTACCATTCACATTGCTGCAAGAACAGACCCAGAAATAGGCAAGAGTATTGCAGAATTACAGGCTTCAAAAGTCAAAACTCCAGAAAGAAAAAGCCTGATGACACTGCTGCTTTTAGAATCAGTAGGCATTATCCTGTATCCTAGAGAACTCCCATGCCTAAAGCTGCTTTCGACCCCAGGTTAAACATTTCAAATGCGGTTTTAATATTTTCCAGGCTATATCCTGCTCCTTCATCTGTTTTCCTGCTGACTTCACAGAAGGGATGGGAGCAGATGGACTTTGGCAGCAGATGCTCTGAAAGGAACCCAAGAGCCCTTGCTGGGGAGAAAGGATCAATA